CCGGGCGGCTCTGGCAGCCCTTCGGGAGGCTGTGAACCGCCACCCCGACCCTGGCTCTGTCCCGCTCTGAACCCTCACCCTGACAGCTCTCCCGGGTGGCCCCGACCCCTTCCTTGCCCCCTTCGCCCCCGCTCTGTCCCACTCTGAATTCCTGTCTCCCATCTTGACCCGTGCACTGTCCCACCCTCATCCCCCTCTCTGCCACCCTGACCTCTCTCTCCCGCTGCAGGCGGAGGTGGAGCAGAAGAAGAAACGAACCTTCCGCAAGTTCACCTACCGCGGGGTGGACCTGGACCAGCTCCTCGACATGTCCTAGTGAGAGTTGGCACTGGGACCCCCTCGGGATGGGCCGTGGGGGTCGGGGGGCTGTTCCTGCGGGATGGGACTGTTCCTGCTACTCTGATCGGGTTATGTTAGAATAACTGAATAACCGGGGGCTCAGGGGACTGGCAGCTGCTTTGAGGCTGTTTGAGGTCCTTCAGTGGGTGACAGCACCAGTGTGGGGTCCCTACGTTTCTCCCTGGGTTGTACCTCTGGCTCAGTCCAGGTAATCCCATAGCTTTGGGTTTCCTGGGGCTGTCCCAGGGCTGTACCCCAGGCTCGGTCCAGGTAACCCCATGGCTTTGGAGTCCCTAAGGGTCTCTCCATCCACCTTCCCTGAGCTCAGTCCAGGTAATTCCATAGCTTTGGGGTCCCGGGATGTCTCAGGGCTGTACCACAGGCTCACTTCAGGTAACCTCCTGGGTTTGGGGTCCCTGGGGATCTCCCCAGACCCTACCCTGGGTTCAGTTTGGGCAACAGTCTGGGTTTGGGGTCCCCAGGGGTGTCCCAGAGCTGTACCCCAAGCTCACTCCAGGTAACCCCCTGGCTCTGGGGTCCCCGGGGTGTCCCCATGCCCTCCGCTGGGCTGACCCTGTCCCTCACAGCGAGCAGCTGATGCAGCTGTACAGTGCGCGGCAGCGGCGGCGCCTGAACCGTGGGCTGCGCCGCAAGCAACATTCCCTGCTCAAGCGCCTGCGCAAGGCCAAGAAGGAGGCACCACCCATGGAGAAGCCTGAGGTGGTGAAGACTCACCTGAGGGACATGATCATCCTGCCAGAGATGGTGGGCAGCATGGTGGGAGTCTACAATGGCAAGACCTTCAACCAGGTGGAGATCAAGGTGAGGGGACCTCTGCCACGGCTCCTGCACAGAGCTGAGCATCTAGAATGTTCAGCTCTGTGTCTGAGGGGGTTCAGGATCCTGCTTGGAGAAGGGCTGGTCCAAAAGGACACCTGGAAAAAAGACAACCTCTGCCAGACAGGAGGCTGCAGCTAGGTGGGGCTTAGCCTCTTCTCCCAGGCAGTTAGTGACAGGATGAGAGGACATAGCCTCAAGCTGTGCCAGGAGAGAATCAGGTTGGATTTCAGGAGGAATTTCTTCCTGGAAAGCGTTGTAGGTATTGGAAGGGGCTGTCCAGGGAGGTGGTGGAGTCACCACCCCTGAAGGTGTTTAAGGAGAGACTGGACATGACACTTAGTGCCATGGTCTGGTTGACATGATGGTGTTAGGTCATACATTGGGCTTGATGATCTGAGGTCTTTTCTGTCCTAAATGATTGTGTGATTCTGGTGGTGTCATCCCAGGGAGGGACAGCTCAGCCCAGGTCCAGGCCCACCAGCACCACTTCAGCATGAAGTGATGAGCTTTCCCAAGAGTGGAATAACCCGCGAGGTGCTGTCACCTGATTCCACTGTTGGGATTAAATGGACTTTCTGTGCCTACCTGGCATTAAATCCCCCTTGGAAGGGCGCTAAAGCCCCCGTGGCTCCTGTGTCCCCTCTCCATGAGGGGCAGCACTGGTGAAGGGCCAGGGGATCCCCTTATCCCATGGAGCCCCTCTGGATCCGTGTCAAACCACTGTTTGCACCAGCCCTAGGACTGTGGGAGGAGCTCAGCCAAAATAACTGGCTGTGCCAGGCTGCTGCCCTGGATGGGGATGGAGGTGTCCCTGTTCCCCCCACAGCTCAACTCTCTCCTCTCCCACAGCCTGAGATGATTGGGCACTACCTGGGCGAGTTCTCCATCACCTACAAGCCAGTGAAACATGGACGTCCTGGGATTGGTGCCACCCACTCCTCGCGCTTCATCCCTCTCAAGTAACCCTTCAGGAGCCTTTTCCAGTGTAAATAAAGGAATTCCTCACGGGTGTGTCTCTCTCCTGCCTCACCATTCCCGGACTGGGAGGGCTGGGGCATGCAAAATTCATCACTCCACCATGATTTGCTGTTTTCCTGAAGATTCCCAGTTTGGCACTGTTTTCCATCAGTACCTGCAGCAAACACTTGTCTCCATGTCAGCTTAGTAGAGGAATGCAATTTCCTGTTCTTCGTTGGGAAGTGGGAATGGCACTTGCATATTTATGGCATTTCCATCTATTTAACTTTATTTGTTAATATAAATGCTGGGATTGCCCTGGGAATGTGAGAGCATGAAGCAGTGGGTAGGTTCCCAGGGCCTCAGAACAAGCCTCGTTCTTGGGGGAATCTGGCAGGGCCCAGCATGGGATGTCAGGACCATCATCAATTAGTTACTTGTCTTTTAATTTGGGATTCCAAAGGATTTTGGTGTCTGGGATCAAGAGGGGGGGGAGTGAACTGGGGGTTTTCAGCTCAGGCTGGGAGGGAGGGATGTGTTTGGGGGAAAAACTGTCCGGAATGAAGGGGATGATCTGAGGTGAATGAGCCAAGGGGGATGAGAGGCAGGGGGATGATCTGGTCGGCCTGGGAGCTGTCCTGGAGCCCGAGGAACCCAACACCCATCTCCAGAGCCAAGTGCTGCGGTGCAGCCATCTGTGGAGAGACCGTTTGTCCCCAGGGTGGTTCTGGCTCATCCCTGCCCCTGGCTGGGATCACTCGGCTCCAGCCCATTCACCCTCCCGGTAGTGCCAGGGCCATTTGTCCTTTAGGGAACATACTCTGTCCCGGGGCTCCAGGGCCTTTTTGTCCAACCAACGTAGCTTTGAGGGTCCCTCGTGTTATCTCCACTGGCAGGAGGGGTACAGGGGGACAAGGCTGGGGTCACTCTGCCTGGTCAGGGCTGTGTGAGGATCCTCAGCCAAGCTCCTCTGCCCCGGGAGGTTGGTGCCAGGGGATGACAAATGTCCTCGGCACGTGGCAGAGGCCACGGTCGTGGCTACGGGAGGGATCGG